AGCGTCAGCGACCTCCTCCAAAACCTCGTACTCCTACATATAATCGTAAACGAAAAGATGATGATGAATGGAATCCTGAAGAAGAAGAAAAAGAAAATTCTGATTCTGATGTTCCTAGAATAAGTTCTCCTACAAAACGTCAACGACCTCCTCCAAAACCTCGTACTCCAACATATAATCGTAAACGTAAAGATGATGATGAATGGAATGTGGTAGAATATAATGATAATGAATCTGATTCTGAAACATTGGATGTTCCTAGAATAAGTACACCTACAAAGCGTCAACGACCTCCTCCAAAACCTCGTACTCCCTTAAATGTTACTTCAAAATCACGTAAAACTATCATATCTACTAGGCCTAAACCAAGATCTCTTAGACAAACTGTTAAACCTGATGAAATCAATAATAATAAAGTAACAAGGTCTCTTAGAAAAACAGATAATAATAAATCAGTTGAAGTGGATGTTGATAAATCAATCGATGTCAATAATAATGAAATAATAAAAACAAGGCCTCGAAGGAAACCTGCTAAACCTGTTGTTGAAATCAATGTTAATGAATCAATAAAATCAAGGCCTCGAAGAAAACTTGCTAAATCTGTTGAAGTAGATGATAATGAAATAACAAGAACTAGGTCTCTTAGGCAAACTACTAAGCCTGTTGATGTTATTGAAAATGATGTAGCAAATGTTGAAGTTGTTGAAAATGAAATAGCAAATGTTTCTGAATATGTTGAAGTTTATGATAACGAAGATACAAATATTCCTGAACAAACTGTTGATCATGTTGAAGCTGATGCTGACGAAGTTACAAATATTCCTGAACAAACTGTTGATCATGTTGAAGCTGATGTTGACGAAGTTACAAGTATTCCTGAACAAATTGTCAAGTCTGTTGAAGTTGAAATCGATACTCATAAAACTCCAAGAGTAAGCACTAGAAAACGTTCATCAAGTCGTAATAAACAATCAAATCCAATGCCGACTAAAAGACAAACTAGATCTAAAGGTGGTGTCAATTTGAGAGAACGTAAGGTTAAAAGTACCAGAGGTAGACCACGAAATGCACGTTCTAAGAAAGCAGAAAGTTTAACTGAACAGTTGGTGGATGTAGAGGAGCAGTCTGAACATGAATCTCAATCTAATATTTTTTATCAATCAGATCAATCAGAAAATATTTCATCTCATAATGCAGATTTATCAGAACAAGAATCATTTCAACCTAGTACAGCTAGTGGAAATACTCTATTTGAAACTGTTGATCATGTTGAAGCTGATGCTGACGAAGTTACAAATATTCCTGAATAAACTGTTGATCATGTTGAAGCTGATATTGACGAAGCTACAAGTATTCCTGAACAAA